TGGTGAGAAGTGATTGAATACAGGAGATAGCAAAGAAATTAAAAGCAACAAGACTTTATGAATGATTGGATGTAGGGAAAGGGGTGAGGAGGAGGGAAGTGTCAAAAGGAACTCTTGGGGATCTAATTTGAGAGATCGAATATGTGGACAGTAACCCCTTTCACTGAGATATGGACTACTAACGCAAGGGAACTGAGCATTGATTTTGAGGTACTTGTGATACATTCAAGTGGAAATGTCTCTAGGCAGTTGAATCTATATCTGAAGCTCAGGAAAGATATCTGGGCTGTGGTTACAGATCTATGAGTTATCAGTATATAAATGGTTCTATTAATCCATGGGAAAGGGCAAGAGCACCTGGGAAGAATGTAAAACCTTAGAAAATACAGGGCCCAGGGAAGAGCCCTGGAGACCAGCAGTGATGACCGCAGACGTGGAGGAAAAGGAGCCCAAGAAAGAGACAGGTAAGTAGTGACCAAGGAGAGAGAGAGAAAAGGGGGAGAAAGTAATGTCACAAAACCAAGGGAAGAGAATGTTTCGAAAGAAGGGAGGTGTCAGTAGTGTTGAATGCTACCAAGAGGTCAAGAATAGCCCCGAAAAAAAATGTCTAGGGAGTGTAACAGTCAGGCAGTTGTCTAGTCTCTGGTGACCTTGGAAATGATAGTTTCAGTACAGACACTTGTGTACAGATCGTTAATTGTTTACCCTGATATATATTCTTCTCTTCTTCCCTAATAATAGAACATCTGATTTTTTACCTGGACACATAGCTTCCTGGAATAAAGGCCATGAAGACAAGGGTCACCCCCTAAGGATAGTGGAGCAGTAAACTAAAATGAATCTGGATCTCTAAAAATTTCATAAGGCCACTGTACCGGCTTTGGACTGCCTAACTCTGGATTTCTTTTAGGTGAGATAAATACATGTATGGCCTATTTAAGCCACTGTTGTTTGGGAGTCTGTGCCATGCAGCAGTTTTATGATTGCAGTGACTTGAGATGTGAATTGCACGTGAGGTTTTGATGACAATGAATATAGACTACTCTTTCAAGAAATACCTGAACCTGATTCCAAAGCTCTCCCAAAATCTAGCTCTGACTAGTTTTCCAGACTTTTTCTGGCTATTTTTCTGAGTAATGCCTATATTCCAACCGAACAAAACACGTCTCTATTACCAGATGTGCCCTGCCTTCTCTCATTAGGAGCCTTTTCTCATGCAATTTCTTCCCCACAGAACATCCGCTGTTACATCTCCCCTCTGTCACAACTTCCAACACTTAAAAATTCCACAATATTTTAAGTCCTGGTTGTGGCCTTTGGGATCCTGGGGTAACTTTAAAATAATAAAGAGTCAGAATCTTAGGAGATATTGGACTCAAGGGACTCAGGTAAAATATCAATCCACAACCCTTTCAGGAGAGAAAAGACAAACTCATTTATAATCTTTACCATTTGACTAGAGAGATTTCCTCCCACCTTCTCCTTGTGAATTCTTTTTTTTTTTAACTGAAGTATAGTCAGGTTACAATGTTGTATCAATTTCTGGTGTACAGCATAATACTTCAGTCATACATATACATACATATATTCATTTTCATATTCTTTTTATTATAGGTTACTACAAGATATTGAATATAGTTCCCTGTGCTACAAAGAAGAAACTTGTTAATTATCTGTTTTATATATAATAGTATCTGCAAGTCTCAAACTCCCAATTTATCCCTTCCCACCCCTTTTCCGCACTGGTAACCATAAGTTTGTTTTCTATGTCTGTGAGTCTGTTTCTGTTTTGTAAATAAGTTCATTTGTCTTTTTTTTAAGATTCCAGATAGAAGTGATATCATACTGATATTTTTCATTCTGGCTTACTTCACTTAGAATGATAATCTCCAGGTCCATCCATGTTGATGCAAATGGCATTATTTTATTCTTTTTTGTGACTGAGTAGTATTCCATTGTATAAATATACCACAACTTCTTTATCCAGTCATCTGTCAGTGAACATTTAGGTTGTTTCCATGTCTTCCTTGTGAACTCTTGAAATCTTTTGATCTTTAGCATCTACCCATAAACTCTGACGAACCTACATTACTGAGACCCAGACCAGTTTCCAGCATCCATAGATCAGCAGGCAAATACATGAAATCATATAGATCATATCTAACAAATAAGAACAAAGATGAAAGCTCAGTTATCATCAGGCAGCTCTTTTCAGGAGATAAGGAAAAGCAGGCTAAAAACTGCTTGTGCAGAATGTCAGGGGATGAAACTGCCTAATATTAGAGCATCCCAGAGCATCGTAGATTTCAGACCCCTGATACCTAAATGGGAATCTCAGAATATCCTCATGGCCAGTCCTCTCCTAACACATTTCCCTTCCCCCAAACTAGACAAAATCAGTACCTCAGAATTTTGGAAAATTCTGAAGGCCAGGAGCAAGTGGTCTTCCAAGGCTACTCATCACTTCGTTAGTCATCTAAGTTGTACAGCACAGCATAGCAGTCAGCTTAATATTGGACATCACACTTTCCTGTTCCTTACATTTCCTAAACTATTCCCACGACGGGGCACCTTCCCCTGGGCCCCACTCCCTATTGCTGTTGGGCTCTTTCTGTTCCCAACATCCAGAAGGGGCAGCTCCCCTCCTTTCCATGTTCAGGCTCCTGTGCCCTCTCCCTTGAACTGCTGGCAAACTCTCATTGTCCTCCTTTTAGGTACAGGGCAATTTAATTCATTTTTTTATCACTCTAAGCCCTGACGTCTATTCTTTCCACAACCAAAATGACTACACTCTGTTAAACCGAAGGCAAATTTCCCCTGGATGAGGGAACCCACTGCCCACTTTGGGACTAACACTCCTCCCCTGCTCTTTGCACCTTGAGTCCTTCCTCAGCATATGCCACTGAGGTGGGTTCAGGCCTCGCATACAGACATTGAGCACCAACTATACATTAGGTACCTCTTCGGAGGTGGTCCTTACTCTTGAGGGGCTGACATTTTTACCGTCTGAGCACTAGCTTCATTTTACAGAAGACAGGTTGGGAGTGAGGGAGATAACTTGTCCATGACAAAGCAAATAGCAGATGGCAGAGATGCCAAATACCAGAACCTTCACCACTATGCTCAACTACCTTCAGTGTATTAAGTCCCAGAATATCTTTTCCAACTCTCTTCATAAACATCTGCGAGGCACATTACAGTAGGATTTTCTTGTGTGGAGGCAAGTCAAACTGGACATCCATACACCCATTTTGAT